GCCCGTGGCGCTTCCCGGCTGCGGGGGCTGTCGGTCGGCGTCGGCTTTCGGTCGGTTGTGCAACGCGACGGCAGAATTTTCACTGCTTGCGCGCGCGAGGCCTGCCCCCTCGGAACTTACCGGATGAGAAATCGTTACTAAGGAAATCGGTGTTAAAGTATTCTGCTTTTTTCCTTTCAGTAACTGGAATGAGCCCTTTGTCGCCGTATTTAAACTTGGACCCCAGGTATCTAGTACAGGTGAGACGGCGGCTTGTTTTCATCGGGTTGAACTGGGTTCGATTGTGTGGTCGTATGCGAAGACCTCAAAAATCCTGCAGTGCTGTGCAGTGCGTACTGGGAGTTGAAAGGAATTTTTTTTTTCAGTCTTGCTCCTGATAAAAGCTTGCAGTGCCATGGCATCTAAAAGAAAACCAGTTTTAATATAGAGGATAAGACAGACGTGTCAATATAAGCCTGCCACTAGTGAAAAGAGGACTCCCTCCCTACTCTGAGGCATACAGCCCCAGCACACCCTTGCACAAGTTCTAGCATTTGTCACACCCTCCACTGAGCCCTTACCTGTCACACCCTCCACTGAGCCCTTACAATCAGTAAGAGCAGCCAGAAGCTCTCCACTGTTGTGATGGATGAGTTTTCTGTGTGGTGATGCATTCGATCAGTTCAGAGGTGTTCAGCCAAACCCTAGGCCTGATGCAGGCTTTGTCACCATATGTGCTGTCATCACAGCAGCAAGGTTCACACCACTTTCCTTATGTCATTTCCCAGCTGAAGGGACACCATCATGAAGTAGAGCTTTCCATTTTATTCTACAGAATAATGTAGCTATTGTACTTACACACCTTAATATTCATCAACATCACATGATGACCTGTAGGCCACCATAAAGAAAATAAAATAATTTAAAATCCTATACTGTTTTCCTTTCTCGGCAATATTAACTATAGCTGAAAAGGTTTAAGCTAATCCAATAAGGATGCATGTCTTAATGATTTTATTTAATTAGTATTTTCTATATATTTACATATATAGGGCTTATATTATCTGAGAACGTAAATTTTGCAGAAGTAGCACTGAAGGTCAACAGTTGTATCTGCTAATCTGTGTGCCTTTTGTTTCATGGTACACTGGGTCACTGCTTCTTTTGTAAGTGGAAAGCTCTGAATGCAGCTCAGGGGGCTGTTTTTTATATCTCTCTCACTGGAAGCTGTTGTAGTCAAGATTACAACTTAACATTCCTGTAATAGTAGAAAAGAGGGGATGTGCCTCTGGTTGAAGTGGATTCTCTAGCAACCTTAACCGTTCTGTGATTCTAAAAAGTCAAGGAAAAAGACATACCTAATATTTTAAAATACAAGAACTTTTAAACTTTTAAAATACAAGCCTTTAAAATTGGTTTGTCTGTGAAGGTGTATGTGGAGGGGTGAGGGTCTCCTGTATTTAAAGACCATCCATTTGCTTTCAGAATGCAGAGAGAAAGTCAGCCTTATTGTTGAGAATCTTACATTTTGATCCTGGCCTTCCCATAATAACAAACACTACAGCAAAACTCATGACTTTAAAACCCGCTTTCTTTGTTAGTCCATTAATGCAGGCACAAACCAATGTGTTTTCTGCAATGTTTTTCTTACCTTCAGCAGGTATCCATTATAAAATAGCATGCCAGCCTTTGTCACAGACCTAGAGGATGGGCTTCCTAGGTTATTGTCTCTATAGAAACATAAAGGTTACATACAGACAGTGATTGCTTCATCTTGACTTTTTGGACAATAGTGAAAACTGTAAGAAACTGCTACCTAGTGTATGCACTGAATTTCTCCAAATATCTCGTTACAGGGAAGACAGAAAGCATATTGTACGTTCAGTTTATTGATAAAAGTATTGTTTTTTCTGTATTGCCATCCACATTTAGTGCCAAGTATGGACTAAGAACACCCTTTGGAATACAATTACTTGAGCCTATAGTTGTTGCAGTCATATATCAGTTAAATGGGGGGGTGAATAATAGTATGACTGGAAAGCACAGAAGCATAAAAAGAGATCTTACTGCTTTAGCACCTTATCAACGCGTGTGCTTCTTGTCAGTGTCTCATATTGAAAAAGTGCTTTGGCCCACCTTATCTCTACACACATGCTAGTTATCAGCCCATTTCTCTAGCTTTTTAGACCAATCTGATTGACAAGAACACAAGCCTGTCCCTGCAGGAGAAAGATGCACAAGTAAAAAACTACCAGCCTTGCATATTTCATGCCTGATCATCCGTAGTTTTCAATATATTCCTTGCTTTTTTCATGTCTTCAAAATAGGTCGCTTATTTCAGCGCAAGGAAATACTTGTTTCAGTACAGGGGCAGTTTAGTGTCAGAGTAGTGGGAAACCTTAACGCATTACTGCATCAACATAGGTTGCTCAGTGAGGAAACAGTGCTACATAATCAGACAACAGGAAGGTTTTTAGAGGTCAGTGAGTCTTGTATTGCCTGCTGCAAGATATAATAAGTAATTAAGCAAATAGTTATTAAAGCAAAAAAACCAAACCAACAATCCACACAATATTATGTTCCTTGGCTGTATGATGTAATGTATAAAAAGTTAGGACAGCTAGGAAAAAAAAGCTCTCAGTTTATATTTTTAAAGTCTTTTTTCATTGTTATTAAATAATTATACACTTAGTATGTTCCATCTCTCTGCTACTATAGACAACAGTTTTCCAGAAACACTGGTTGTATCTGTTTTTTCTTTAGGTTATTGTATGGATTAAATAAATAATTTTAATGTGGTCTACGTTTTGAAGCAGATACACTTGGAAAATACAAAGGTGTGTGTTTTGTTTTCCCTCAGGATACAGATGAGTTTATCTTGCCCACAGGAGCCAACAAAACTCGAGGCAGATTTGAGCTGGCCTTTTTTACCATTGGAGGATGTTGTATGACAGGTAGGTGGTTGTGGTTTTCACTTTTCCCTGCTGTCCAGGTAACACCTCTGTACTACAGTAATAGACGAGGTTGTAAATGGCTTGTTCTGCAATCTAGTCTTACATAAACAGCTATTTGACTTCAGACTACACACTGGAGTCCATTCTCAGTATTTCCTTCTAGTATTGTTATTTTTGTTCCTTTTTCTTCTTCTGAAAAAGTAATAACTGTTATGCTAACTAGGGGCAGCATTTGGTGCGCTGAATGGTTTGCGGCTTGGCTTGAAGGAGACACAGAATATGGCGTGGTCAAAACCTAGAAATGTACAGTAAGTGTTTAATCTTTAAAAAAAAAGTACACCTTAGTGACAGAGTTGTTTCTCCCAGCTTGTACAAAGTTAGATCTGAATATACTGCAAAAATATATCTTTTTTTTGTGGTTTTAATGGGGACAAATGAGAGTCAGTGTTTGTCTTCATCTAGTTATGAAATGTTTTTAGTTATAATGATGTTCAGTGCAATCTTTTTGCTTTTCATTTAGTGCCAATTGGTATATCCTCTGACTTTTAAATCTTTGAGAATAAACTACTTTGTTATCTACTAGAAATCTACCTAAAAGTCAAAACAGTGTTTTTATATGTTGAAGTGTTCCCAGAAGAAGCACAATTTGGTTTGAGCTATTTTTTGCTGTGACTTATCTGAGAGCGAGTTCTCTCTTCTTTCCCAAACTTTCCAAACCCAGGAAGAGATTAAAATGCAGAAGCTGGGCCTGCCTGGATTTGCATTAGGGATGACATTGGTGCATGCTGCTAAGCGAGTGTTGAATGGTGGAAGTTGTTCTGGACTACAGCGTTCATGAACACCCATGGAATTCCCGTGTTTTCACCTTACCCGATTGTTTCAAAGAACACAGTAAAGATGGGAACACTTTTTTTCCTGCTTCTCCTAGAATTATTGGTAGTTTAGACATAACTGTAAGAAAACTTAGGTGCCTGTGAAGGAGACATAGGAAAGTAAAGGAGTGAAATAACTGGAGGAAACCATTTTCACTCTCCCAGAATTCTTTGGCAAAAGGGAAATTTTAGAGGAGTTTAATATTTCCTAGTTCAGTTTATAGGGGCTCTGCTCCTTTGCAAAATACTGTTTATCTTCTCTTCATCCCCTTCTTTACCATCTCTTGTATTAAAGATAGAACCAAAGTATTCCCTACTATAATTATGACTCTTCCATAATGTTCTAGATGAACAGAATTAAATCTGATGTATTCAAATGAGCCGAGTCAGACAAAACCATGTTGTTAAGCATAAACTTTGGTGGGTCAAGCCCAGCAGGTGGCAGTCAGTGGACACACTGCTGTTAGTCCTTGCCCTTCAAGGCAAAAGGCCTGTTGAAGGTCATCACCTTGAAACAGGGTATTACGTTCCATGTTTTCCTGATCAGATGCAGGGAAGAGAGACTTGCCTAGCTAGATTTCCTTCAAAATTCTTAATGTACACAGATATTAATATTTTTATGGATTTGAATTCTGCTGTTAATCCCCTGTCATCAAATATCTCATAGTGTATCGTGGTTATTAAAATAATGAATTTTCTCATCAATTCAGAATTCATCTAAAGTTAACAGAATGGGGGTTGTAATTAGGGGGAGATTGTCAATACCCTAGCCTCTTGGATTTTTATCTTTTGTTTCAAAATGAAGTTTTCCATTATTGTTCAGCTCATTGCCTATCCACATTCAGTAATGGCCCGTGTCTCCTAATGAAAATTATCAAACAGGAAGAGTAGTGGAAAATGAACTTGAATCAGAAGGAATGTAATGTGTGATACTTTCATTGCTTTAAATGATAAACTATGTTCCAGTGGTAGTCAGCTGTCCAGAGCAGTACTGTGCCTGTGATAGTGTTACACTGCTGGGAGATAAAGATCAGTCATTTCTTCTGGCTGCTGTTGTCACCGTTCTGGAGACGGCTGATGCCAGGAAGAAGTGGCATTGTGCTTCCCTGAGAGTGCACTAAAGATTTGCTTTCCCTCTTTAGTGCTAGTCTGGAAGCATACATAAATACTCAGGATACCAAGTTTGACAAACGGAAGTGCAAAAGATTGCCTCTTTTCTTCCTGACATGCTTTGGTTCAGACTTGGTTTTAACACCCACCCTATTTGTTCAAGCATCACCACGCTCCCTGACACATGGTCCCTCTATCTCTTGGACTCTAGCTTTCTTGGAGCTCTTTTTACCCAGTTAAATCAGCATAAATATATCGGTCATTCTCAGTAGCTACGTGTAGCCTCTGTCTCAGGAACATTTATCAACTAGGGTTAGAAAGTCATTTGAAGGGAAGAGATTGGATTCTCGGTAAGGTACAAGTTTGACTTGAAAGGAGAGATTTTCTTAAGACCTGAGGACTAAATATTTGCCTTCCATATTGCCTGCCTTACTATTTGTAGTATGCATGGTGGAGGAGATTATGTATTACCAAGCTGTGTGCTTTTCCTTACAGTTTTCTTTTGAAGGGCTTTTGGTTCATTACTCCAGTTTTATTAATCAAATGAATAGTGAAACACATTACGCCTACTATCATAAACACTGCCTCACTGTAAACACAGAGAGCTAGAGGTTTTAATACCTTTTTAACTCCTTTATAGAATTCTAAATATGGTGACAAGGCAAGGAGCGTTATGGGCTAACACTCTGGGATCTCTGGGTAAGTAAACTCGTTATTTTGCAAGAAAAACAGTTTAAAGATGTAACTAATGGGAAAGTGTATTCTCTAAATCTTCATTATGAAATCCATCAGGAAGAACGGCAGGTTTTTTTCTTTGGGACATGAGCATTTCAGTAGACATTGAAAAGGAAATTAAAGGCTAAAATAGGATTTGAAGCATAAGTAGCCAAAAGCCTGTAATTAAATGCCAACATTTTTAGTATATTACAAACAAGAACTCTAGCTATGGAATAACTGAAAAATATATCAACAAGTAAGCATTACCTAAGTTCCAGTTAATTCACAATTTGTAATTGAATACTTCTGAAATAACTTTAATAACCTAAGAAGGGATTCAGTGGTCATATGAGCAACTGCCTGATGTCTGTTTCCAGTTAAAGAGTTCACAAAATTTTTATCTGTAGAAGAAATGTGATAGTGACTACAAAGATTTATCCTTTTATGGTGGTAGCTTAGCTAGAAAAATCACATACAACACCACCCACTTTAAATCTAAACATTGCTTATAACGAATACAGGTTAGAAAAAAAGAGAAAAAAATTATCAAAAGCCTGATGTATGAGAAAGAAAATTCTGTGAACTGAGGTTGAGGGGGGCAGGAAATAAAATCATACCAGATGCCTCAGAAAAACTTCACATGACTTCATAAAAGTCAGCGGAATAACTAGTGCCCTAGAGAATACAAGCTGTTTGGCTTCTCCCCCCTCCAAGTCTTAAAAGAGCAAAGGGTTTTCAGTTACTTTGAAAGGAGAAATACAAAACTGATGAAATTATTTTGACAAAGATTAATGATGGAATTCATTGTCCCACAAAGTGGTAATAGAAGACAAATTAGCAATATTTAAAACAGAGATTACATCATGTTATAACCCAATCTATGTATATTTGAATTTTGAAAAATGCATCAAAGCATAGGCTAAGTTACGTTTATTACATTTTTTTCAGTCTTATTTCCAAATAGTACATTAGCTTCCCATTTAACTCAGAAATCAGCTGTTGAGGCATAATATAGAGGTCATGGTTAGAGATGGGATTCTGAACTGCAGTGAGAATGGGACTTCTCATAAGAGATGCATATTGCCTAGTGAGTTTTACGGTGCAATTTTTGGGTCTGGGTTTTTTTTTTCCCCCCTCATTTTCTATTCCAAATCCAATCAAAACATGTCTGAAAACTGAGATGCAGGCACACTGCAGTTCAAGGTTCCAGGTTAAGTGACACATTAACAGGTTTTTTCAGCTGTGTTTGAAGAAAGATTACTCAAGAAAATGTTTGTGCATTCCAGTAACAAATTGCTATTTTTCTTATAAAATATGGCCTCCCAAGTCACAGAGTTAAGCAGAACTTGATATTTTGGGATTTGATACAGGTCTGCCTTGTCCTAGCTACCAGAGAAGCTTCTTTCAAGGACCTGAAGTATTTTTGCATCTTATTTCACTTCTGCAGCATTTCTCTACCTCAAAGATTCCTTTTGTTACTGCTGACAATTTTTGTCAACATCTATGTTAAACTATTTTTAAAAACGTTGTTGAATTCAGCTCTTCCTTCCCCTCGTTGTTAATACTACATGCTACAAAGACAAGGTAAAATACCACTGCCTATGCTGAACAGAGAAAGGTGCTACTGTTCAGCTCATCTACATTAATATGGTTGTTTATGAAGGATTTACATGCTTTATAGCAGAAGTAAAGATTTCAAATTCTTGGAGGACAAGGGATGAATTAAAGTGGCATGGTGTCTTTACCACTTGAAAATTATGACATACTCTACTGGTCTTCGTCAGCACAAAATAGGATTATGTCATGAGGGGTGAGGATGGGGGTGCCTTCTCCCTTCTTCAAAATGCATAGATTATATATGTATCCATACTAAAGCCTACGCATTTCTTTTTCTAATCCTTTCCGGGACAGTCCCCAAAGTCTCCCAAAGCAAAAGGCCCCTGAGGGACAAAGTTTTCATATGCAGGCAGAGGTGAAGCATCTGTAAATGTCAAATCCCAAGCAATCTAATAGTCATCTGTAAGGGAAACGTAGCCCATTGTACTCCAGCTCTTGATAACGTGATCTGAATGCTGCACTTAACTTGCATTTCATCTTGGTTGCATGTGGGCAACAATTTTCTCTGCTACCTAGATAGTGTTGTTAAGTTTAGGTGAACGCCATCCACAGAAGACAGTATAAAGCCTGCCAGTACAAAGTTAAACCTCAAAAGTTTTTTAAATAAATTTGAAGAACTAGCAAAATGGGCTTAAACTTCAGTCAGTGCTTTATATCGCATGTTTATCACATCTTGTGGCAGTGCTAGATGTCATGAAGAATGCTACTTTATAACCAAACTATAGCTAGAGAAAGAAAAATTATCTGTAAAATAGAAATAGGTCTGGAAAAAAACCACCAAAGACAGGATTGGGCAGGGGATCCCCCCTTTAAATAAACAGAAGATCTGTGCTTCGGAAGCATAGTCTAAATATTAGTTATACCAGCCTGGGTTATTCTAAGCCTTGTGTCTCAGATAATGGGAGTTTTAACCTGAATTTTTTAAATATGTTTTTCTTTCCCAGCTCTACTTTACAGTGCTTTCGGAGTCATCATTGAAAAAACACGAGGTGCAGAAGATGACCTGAACACCATAGCTGCTGGAACCTTGACAGGAATGCTATACAAGAGCACTGGTAAAGTAGCAAAAATGTTTCTAGTTTTTGTTGCTTTGTGCTTTATCCTAGTTACTAGGATTCTCATTACTTGCACTAAATACTGTCCTGCTCTGAAAATTGGCAGTGTAAAAATGGTACACTAGGAACGTAGAACTAGAATGTAGGGGTTTTGTAGCTCCAGGTACTATCACATGAATCACTTGTAATAATTTTCATCCTGATGCAGTCAAGCTGTGTTCTTGTGTATTCCTCCCCCTGCTCACCCCCTTTCACTTTGGAAGGTAGTTCCCATTTGCCTGCATCCACTCATGGACTTGAGAAACTATTGGTTTTATTGCTGCTATACCTGAGAAACATGGCTGAGAATGAGCTGGGTATGTATTTTATACAATCTAACTATAAATCTGTGTAAACTTTTGAGTTTTTATTCAGTGTATAGCAAACTTTAATTTGGCTGTCATGATTGTTGTTAGTCCTGTGTGAGTTGGAAAGAATCCAATTTTAATTCAGCTGG